AAGCACTGAGGATACATTTATTCATTCATTCAATAAATATTTATTAAGGCCCTACTATGTCCCAAGCGCTGATCAAGCAGTGAATAAAATAGGCAATGTTTCTGTCTTTATGAAGTTCATATTCTGGTTTTGTGGGGTAGGAGGAGATGGTACACACATAAGTAAGTAGATGCTCACTCTGGCAGGTGTTGAGTGCTATGAAGAACAAAGGAGGTAAGGGATAAAGAGGCCATCGGTGGACTTTAGATAGCATTACTTAGAAGACAGGTCTATGGGGAGCTAACATTGAAGCAGACACCTGAAAAAAGCTAAAAAAGGAGACATACAGGTATGTGGAGAAAGAGTGTAGAAAGAACGTAACAAAGAGTATAATTGGAATGACTCAATCTATTATACTTCAGGAAATGTGGGAGGCGGGGAATAAAGGAATGATTGACTCATTATACACAAAAGCCTTCTAAGTTGTCTGAAAGCCCTTCTGGGAAGAAGGAAAGTGTAAATCAACCGTAAATGCCTTACCTGCCCACCCCTAGACAAAACAACCTAAAACAAGGATAAAATGAGGTGAATGTAAAAGGATTTTTAAAGGCATAGAAGCAACGCTATTTATCAATCACCAGTTTCCACTAACATTTGAGACCCACCAAGTATGCATCTATATTTGAACATCATATGCATAAATTAAATTGGTGCTGGCCTGAATCCAAGAGCTAAGACAAGTGTCAAAATTGTTCTGGAATTTGGTGGTTATGGTGAATCACTCTCTAATCTACTCAGAACTATACATGAGGCCTGCACACAAATGCAAATGTAATCTCATAGTATACCATTTTCTGCTGCATTTGAGTAGGCAAAACTGACATCTTCTAGCCAAAATGTAACCCGAATTTCTTTATTTGCAAGACAATTCCTTAGCCTTTGGCAATTAGTCAAGCAAATTCATTAGCACCGGTCAATGTTTTTCCAGGCCAGGTGAAACTGTCATGGAACTTGAATCCTTAAGCTACAAGGAGGTTCTCCATCAAAATGTTGTTCTAACTTTCCAGCTGCTCTTACATTTTTCTTTCAATCTAACTTATGGAGATAATCGAGAACATACACACACGAATGCAGCCTGAATGTGGCATTTTGGAGGAAAACCCCAGCTGAGTACACACGAGTGTGTTTCAGCTTTGCCAGAAGAAAAATTGTTATGCATTATACATGGACTATAAAGACATTTTTTGTAAGCCTTACTTTAAAATGTTTGAATTTTAGAACTTAAAATGTTCCATGTGTTTAGTATTTCTTGTTCAGTTAGACTAAAAAGAAATGGTTGGAAATTTAGTCTCCAAAAACAGGCAGTATATTCCAATAATATTTCATACATTATTATTTCTGTAGCGATGGCATTTACAAACATGGCTATATACTCCTTACTGGTTGTAATTAAGGGGTCGTTTATTCAGTATTTATTGTCTACTATGGGCCATGTTCTGTTTCAGGTATAAGAGATACAACAGCAAATAAAGTTCATACTTTAGAGGAAACAGGCATACGTGAATTTGTAAATAAATATAATGTCAAGTAATGAAGCCCTTATGCTTCCTGTTTTATTCAGGAAAAGGGAATGTGGGTGGGGCTGATATTTTCCAGGGAAAGCTTTTCCCTTGAAGGGTCATTTGAATGAAGACTTTAATGACTGGAGAGTGGGAGTGGCTGGGGGATTTAGGGAAGAAGTAACCCAAGCAGATAGAGAGGGCCAGGTTATGCTGCAGCCTGTGTGATCTTACATACAGCCCCACAGCACAGGTTCTTAGCCCACAAAGTGGAATGATCACTGAACCCACAATCTGGCTTCATTTTTTTTTTTGAGTTTCAAGTGATGACAACGAATTGCAAGGAAAGCCTGCTGTCAAACTACCATCTCATTAAGTTTCACATGGACACATATAAGAATAGACATTTCCTGTTTTCCCTCCCAGATCTCTTTACCTTTGCATTCCAACCACCTGAAGAGTCCTTCTTTCCTTTTCTTAATTTCTCCCAGAGTTCAAAGATTTATTTAAAGTCTGCCTCCTGTAAGAATCATCCCAACTCCTCTGACTGATGCTAAGTCACTCATCTTGCTTTGTAGCCGGAGGTCTTAGCCTCAGACTTCCCCACCATCCTTAGATTGGTCTTTAAAGGAACCCTCAAATTGTACTTGAAAGAGTCTGTGTGTAATCCTCTGCATGTTTTCCCAACAAGGGTGTTTATAAATTCCACGAGAGTTTAAAACAAGTTTGTGACTTAGAAAGGTGGAAAACCACAAGCATTCTTGGCCAATGCTTCTCAAACATCAAATATCCACTCAAACTGTCTCTATTAAAATGAAGATTTCAATTCAGTAGCTTTGGAGTGAGGTGTGGTGCTGCTGGCCTGCAGCTTGGTGGAAGGAGACTAGAGTGCTTGGCATGTTGCTCTCTGCCCTCACATGGACTGTGGGTTGCTGGACAGCAAGGGCACTGCCAACACTACTTTGCTCTTCTCCCAAGTACAGACTAATAGAAAAAGCCAAAAAAAATTTAAAAAAAGAAAAAAAAGAAAAAGCCCACTGTTGGGCCTGACAGGTATTCTAAGATACTGGCCTCAACAATTAGACTTCTATGGTTACCACCAATTTCTTAAGGCTCTTTGCAAATTTCAGAGCAGAATCTCAAAAATGCTAAAATCTTCCTGAAATGACCCTTTTTTCCTCTTCTCCAGTAGTCCAGTCCCCTAACATATTGAAACTTAAATCCATCAAATCTAAAAGCCATCATATTTAGTACAGGAAATGCACTCATTTGAAAGAATAATTCACTAAATGAGGGCATTCCTTTTCTCACTGAAGATGTTTAGTGCAAATAAATAATGTGTGGCATCAAAGGAACCAGGATAAATCAACAGCACAAGGCCCTCTCTGGCAGATTCTGGATGAACTATTTAAAGCCCAGAAGTGAAGCTTCTTGAAAAAGGGAAGAGAGGGAGAGAAAAAAGTGAAGAATAGAGGCGAAAAGTGAAAATAGGGTTTTAGGATAAAATCGCTGTCTCAAAGAAACCTGCCACCCTATATTTGCACAAACTGTAAAAATAAGTTATTTACTTTGTGGAAATAAGGTGCTTTTAACAACAGCGAACAACAGAGCAAATGAAGCAAGTTACATATAAGACGTATGTGTAAGGAATGTCTTTATATGTGCAAAAGGATTTTTTCATGTAATTTATAAATGTATATACACAAATTATTTGGGCTTGCAAAATACCATATGTAATGAAAGTTATGCATAAACATTTATAAAATACCTTTTCTAAGTAGGCCGGCAACATTTACTATTTTTCAATAAATTAATATATAAAATATATACATTAGTGCCAAATGGAACATATATTTTGAAATATGAACCCCAAGTAAAACTCAGGAATCTGGAGGAGAATTCAGGTACATGCCAAAGGAAACTTTGTCTTTGAAGAAAGGAAACAATGCCGGGTCTCTTATCTTCATGGACTGTTTTGCTTGTCAAACTTCTAACACTACTTCAGCTGTGTTTTATATTTGACTTCCAACCTCATGGCCATTTGACCTGCCAACTATTATTTTCTTTGAGGCTTTGTAACGCTCCACCCAAGTATTTCGTTTTCCAGAACAGTTGTGTCCGTTTCCTTTACACTTCACCTTAACGTCAGCCTTAGTTCCCAACGTCGTTGTCTTAAAGTGCCCCCAGTAAGGTTTCAGACAAACCCCAGGACATCGCTGGGATGACCAGTAGGGCTCTGGAAAGCCAAGATCCCCTGGAGATTCTGCTTTGTGCCAGGATTTACACCCAACCTCAGAGTCCTAGGGCAGAAGCCGGGCCGTAAGAGTCCAAATCCCCGGGGTCCCAACCCCCTCCGAGGCTGACTTGCCGGCTGGGTCCGCACAGCCGGAAAACACCGCCCTTTCCTGCCGCCTACTCCTTCCCCAGGCCGACGACTGGAGGAAGAGAGAGAGGCCGATTGAGAAAATTAACTTAAATTAACCAGGTTCACCCTGGGCGGGGGCTGAGGGGCGGAACGTGCTACGGTGCTGGCTGGGTGACCGGCGGGAGCAGGTGCAGCCAAGGGCAGAATTTTACGTTCCTGGGCCGGCAGCTGCGCCACTTGCGCCTCGGCGCGCGTCTGGGCAGCCACCACCCGCTTGCCTCAGCTTTAGGCAAATCCCTTTGAGAAATCCCGAGGGAGAAGAAACGCCTCCCTCTGGACAAGAAAAACCTGCAGCGTCTGCTGTTCTTCCCGTGCCCACTCGCTCAGTCAGGAGCCCCTGGCGTCTCCAGTTCGCTAAATCCACTCTCCGGGTTTTGGCTGCAGCTCCAGGGGAGCGAGCTAGAAACTGACAGAACGCACCTCTCCCCTTTCCCCTCCGGCTGCGAGTGGCCTGGAGAGCAGTGGCCCGGCAGGGAGGGGTGGCGCGGTCAGGTGGCCCTGCTTCCCTGCGCGTTGGGACAGGGAGAGATCGGCTAGTGGAGGCGAAGAGAGGTGGGCGCACGAAGTTTAGTACGAGTGTCAGGGTGCGGGTGGGGTCCTATTGTCCTCGGGCACCCAGGCGGCAGCACCCCGGGGTCTCTGAGTCAAGAGTCCTGCGACCTTCCTTTGTGCCCAGGGAGTCGAACGTGGCTTATCCTCGGAAGGAAGCCGCATCCTGGGGGGTGGCGCTCTCACGGTAACAATGAGTGCCTATTGTCCTCCCAGGAACTGCCAGCACCGTGGGCCCCGCCGCCGGTGATTGCCGTGCGCTTGCGTCTGGCCGCGGGCTAGCCCAGGCCAAGGCACAGGTAACGCTAACAGAAGGGTCAGCTCGGCCGCCGGCGCCCTCCGCCCCGCCCCCCGCGCCGCGGCCCCGCCCCGCCCCGCCCCCCGCAGGTTCAGTCCTAGCGCCCGGCCGCCGCGCGCTCAGTCTTGCTCGCACCTTCTTTCGCGGCCGCGGGGGCCGGAGAGGGCGGGAGCGCGGTGGTGGGGCCCGAGCAGGGGGGCCAGCCCGGAGACTCGGCCGCCGGCCTGGGGCGCCTTCACGCCGTCTCGGAGCGGAGAATGCTGTGAACAGGCGCCGCGCCGATCGACCTGGCTGGATCTGCGCGCAGCGGCTGGAGTTGCGTGCGCTCGCGGGAGGCGTCGGGGCAGCTGCTGGGATTCTGAGAGGCTTCGGTAAGTTGGTGCTGCCCTTGGCTCCTTCTTCTCTACCTGTGTAAGAGTCTGTCCGACCCGCGGCGGTGGCCGCTTCCGGCCTGAGCTGGCTTAGAGACGAACGGGGAGCGGGCATACCGAGGGCATCATTTGCCTAGCCAGTGTCCAAAGGACCCAGGGGTATGACATAAAGCAAGCCCCGAGGGGCTCGGGTAAAATGACCAGGAAGCCGAGCGCCACTGTTTGTGCCCACCACTCTTCAGGGTGTGTCTGCACGGCTACACTGCACCCTCCAAGCCATTGAAAGAGCCATTCTGGGCGCGTATTGCGTTTTTCCACCAGAGAACAAGCCGCAGTTGGTTACCGCGCCCCTGGCGTTGTGGATGGGCACCAGGGCTGCACATGCACATGGGTGGACCCTGCGGATCTGCTGTGGCAGTGCCCGCCGGCTGCCCTCTTCTCTTTTGGCGGGGGACATAGTAGATCTGAGCCTCCAACCTGCAGATCTGGCAATGGATATATACGGGGGGGGGCTTGTTTTTGACCGTGGTTTTTGAACAGCTGAAACATTTACAAGGTCCCCCCCCTTCCTTCTTGAAACTAAGTGTCTTGACGCAGACAGCTATCAGACATGTGAGGACGAATGGATCTGGCCAGTCATTTTTTCGTTATGAATTATTATGTTCCATCCCCCTCTCGACTTTGGGAGGCATGTGTTTCATCTTATAAATAGAAAGTAGCATATTTTTTGGCAGGACCTCCTTTATACTGTACAGTCTAGGGGAGGTCAGTTTAAAAATAAATATGCACTTGAATGTTACATTACCGAGAGCCAGGCTGTGGCTGGGACAAGCTGCCTGGACAGAAGCATCAAAGCCGGGAGCGCAGCTGTGTTGAAAAGAGTAAAAGCCCCAGAGTGCAGCCCAGGCTGACAGTCAAGTAATTACATTTTGTTTAAGGGGGGAAAAAAAGTGAATGAATTAAAATGAGGGTGGGAATAGGAATGTCAGAAGGCTATTGCAACATGAATCTTTCCAGCCCTGGTGTATTTGGAGGAGTAGGCTGCTGATCTGTGCTGAGGGTGCAGGGGCTTCTGGGGAGGAAACTGGCGAATGTGTTAGGGAGACAAAGATTCCCTCCCCGTCCTCAGACCATCAGTTACTTGAGGGTAGTGCCTGTTAAAATAACAAAAATTAGGAGAGTAGCAGATGCCTGTGTTTTAATAGCAAAGCCAGTCTTAGGGACTTCCCCTTAACATTCATTGCAGGGAATATGTAAAGCTCACCAGGAAGCACTGATGATGCCCCAGGGGTATCCTTAAGGCGATTTAAAAGGCTCATAAAATGTTCTCACTTATAAAAGAGCTTTCATCTTGCAACCAGGAAATGCAGCTTCTCTTCTCAGCATTTCCAGACGTCTTCCCTTTGATATCACCTGCCTTTGTATGGGCTCCTATTAGCAGTTAGGAACAAGCCACATGGGTTTGTGCACACAAATCCTTTTCAGAAAAGAATCAAACACTCAGAACTAAGGGCAGTTTTGAAATGTCTAGCACTGTCACATGTGAAATGATGACCAAATGTATATTCAAGGAATGATTGAAAGTTCATTAAGTCTCCCAAAGAATGCATAGGTTTCCCAGTAGGCCTCACCCATTGAATAAAACAGTCAGCACCAGCCTCTGGGCCTTGTGATAAGAGCTTGAGAGGGGAAATTTGGACGTGTTTCTGGACCCATGGCAGTTTCTGTTTTCTGGTGGTATCATCTGCTAGAGATTTATATTATGAATTCCATGATTGGAGCATGGTGCTGGGGCTGTGGCAGCTACGGACTTGAAATAAGATGAGCTCCCCCTTCCCGCAATCTGAGCCGTGGAATTCTGTTTTCTATCTCAGTGGAACATGTAAAGGCAGCTAGAGTAGCAAGTGATGAACAATTTTTTGCTTTTTTTTGCAAATTTAAATGTGGTGCAAGATGAAGAAATACAAAGCCAGAGCCATCATCGCAGAAGGGCTCACATGAGTTAGTTTGCCCTGTGCTCCAGCTTTTGCTTTAATGTGGTGTTTTATGTCCAACATGTTCACAAAAACTGCCCTTTTTACTTATAAAATGTCTGGTATTCAACAATGTCAGGGATAAAGTCGCTTTAACCTATTATCACCCCAAGGGTTTTTTTTTTTTTTTTAACCAGGCTGTAAATATTTCCCAAGCTCTTTGCCTATTAGCTATAGCATTTATCCAGTGGATGAAGTGTAATTCGGCACCTGACAACCTCCAGGAAGATGTCTCTGATTTAAAAAAAAAAATTATTATTAAGGCCCTTACATTTAGTCTGATTTCATCTAGTCCTGGCCTACTTTCCTTCTAACCAGAATTTGTGGACATGTTTTTTTCATGGATTGAATAAGAAATTTCAGTCAGTGAAAGGAGAACTGTCTGTATCTCCAATCTACAAGTGTGGAGACTGAGGACAGATCAGGTATGTAACTAACCCAAAGTTACAATAAGAAAAAATGCCTCCACATGCATATGCAATGTGACATGCATAAGTGGCTTATCCTACAGGAAAGCGCTTTGGGTTAAGGGTGATGGAAAAAGAAATCTTAAGGTGATGAAGCTTCCCAGGGTCAGTTTGCCTGGGCTCATGTCCTAGCTCATTAGGCAAGTCACTTAGCCTGGGTACCTCAGTTTACCAGTTGCAAAATGGGCATAATATATTACCCTGAGGATTAAAGGGATTAAAAGAATATAATGTTTTTAGAACATGCTGGCCAGGCACAATGAAATGTTGATGTTTTCATTGTTGCTTTTGTTGTTTTCCTAAGGGCTTAACACTGATTCTTTCATTTAATATGTATATCTATTCTTTGAGACAGATAGGACACTAGTCCCCCTCTTAACTGTGGTTTTACTTCCTGGGATTTCAATTACCCATGGTCAATAAAGATCCAAAAATAGGCGAGCACAGGACAATAAGATTAATTTTGAGAGAGAGAGAGATCACATTCATATAACTTATTACAGTATATTATAATTTTTCTATTATTCTTATGAATGCCTTACTATGCCTAATTTATAAATTAAACTTTATCATAGGTAGCTATGTATAGGAAAAAACATAGCATATGTAGCATTTGATAGTGTCTAAGGCAGCGGTTCTCAACCTGTGGGTTGCGACCCACAGGAATGTATTAAAACCATTAGGAAGGTTGAGAACCACTGGTCTAAGGTTTCAGGCACTCACAGGACTGTGTATGTGTGTGGAGGGGTCTTGGAAAGTATCCCTGAGAGATAAAGGGGACTATTGTATTGCTCTTCTTTTCCAGATAAGAATACAAGCTCAGAAATCTTTAGTAACATGGCCAAGGTCACACAGTAAAGTAAGTAGCAGAATGAGGATTAGAACTTGTATCTACTTGACCTTGTAGTGAATACCCCCACTACCAGGCTGATTCTTGTTTTATCTTTTGACTTCCAGCAAGGAAGTCATTTGGTATTACCCTTTATCTCCTGTGCAAAATGACAATAATTGGTAGCCTTGAGGAATGCGCCATGAATTATTATGATTAAAGATGGTTCAATCCTACCTATATGGGAATATCGTTCTCCTACAGAGGATCTAATATGAAAACTGCTAGAGTTAACATAGGTGGTTTATACCATAAATGAAGAGATTTACTAGGTAAAAATGTGGGACTTTGGAATGAAGAAAGCAAGCTGTGCCACAGCCAGAGACCACGAATTTGGGGGGCCAGGGTAATGTAGAGCTCTGGTGTAGACTGTATTCTTCCTTCAGAGTTCTTGAGTATAAGGGGAGCAAGGTCAGGTAACCACATCTGGACAGTCTCCTCCTTGAGGCCAGGAACCCCATCCACAGGGCCTGGCCTTTCAGTACCTGCCATTCATCGGACCTTTGTATCTGGTGCTGATGTTGCTCCAAGAATTAAACAAAAGAGGAGCCACAGGTGGGGTGAGCAGGAAGGCTCTGGGCTCTGTTATAGTTCTGCATTTGCCATGGACGCTACTAGATAAGCTTCTGGTGTGAAAGATAGAGGAGGAGGCCTTTGCCACCTAGAGGGTGCTCTAGATAACCCATGTGGCCTGCTTGGCCTGCATCGCCTTTGATGGATTTCTGATTAGCTCTGAGGGTGTGCTGGGGGAACTGCTCATACTGAAGTGGGGGTTCTCAACAGGCTAGTTCAAAATAACTCATGTTGCCTCAAAACCAAGGGTAATAAATAGCCTTGGAGCTGTCCAACTCCATTTGGAATCTTCTCTTCTCCTATCCCCACTCTTTAAAGGCTATAAAACAAAACAACAGCCCACAAACCAGAATAAATAAGTAGCCAAATCCTCCTTTAGCAACAGTCTGCTGTATTTCTTTCCTTTCCAAAAAACCTCTTCCTTGGCCTTGATCTACTTCAGTGCCAAGTATCACCAGAGTCACTTAATGATGACCTGAGCTTGACAGTACCTCTGGTGGAAAAGCAGTTTTCAGAATTTACCCATATAGTTTTATAACACAAAGCCTGACATCAATATTAAAAATACTACTGTTTCTAAATAGCCAAGCAAACTGTGAAAGCTGACGGGCTTCAGACTACTGTTCGCTTAGTCCTTACTGCTTACCTATGTCATGATTTCTAGAATTCTAGAATCCGACATTTAAAATTTTAAGAGAAGGATTTTCAGGGATTGAATTTTGTTTGCATGTTTGAGAAACTCATTAGCCTTTGGTTCTTTGTGAGACAGTGTTGCGGAGATCACACACCTGTAATTAGCAGGTAGGGCACCACTTACAGTGCCCACAGAGACTTGAACAGCATCAGAAAAGGATTCTGTGGGACCCCAGTTTGACAAAGGTCTCTTTCTGCCAGACTTTTCAGAGCATTTAGTAAGTTGTTGTGTACCGTGAATCTCCACAGGGACAGAGTGTCCAGAGTTTCCCAGGTAATTTACCCAGAGAGCAGCAGCAGGACTAGCCTGGACACTCTTTGGAATTGCAGAGGAGAAGCTAGGTA